TGCACAACTTCAGAGAAAACTTGTGAAATACTTTAGCAACTTCCAGTAGTGTGTATATTAATTATGCATTAATTCTTGTGGAACTGCATATCGATTAGTAGCATAATATCGAATAAATGTTTACAAATACACAAGGGAAGTATTTAACTCTTGCAACTCATTAACCATTTTGTGTTCATCAGTATTTATTAGTTTAAAATTTTACATTGACATTCAGAAGTACAGTATTTCTCAAGCTCTTCCTTTCATTATTTAGTTGAAATTTTGATTAATTTGTAGGGTTTACTAATAATTAAGTTTCCATTTGCTAGAAAGGGGAATAATACTGTGAGAAATGGTCTAAGTGTAAGTTCTTATCTCTAATATCTCTAAGTGTAAGTTCTTATCTCTAATCTCTTATCTCTTATTAGAGTTCAATATTGTGCAGAAAACAGCTAATTGAATGTTAACACTTTTAATGAAAAAAATAGATTACTCAAGGTTTATAAAACTTTAGTTGTAAAAGCATCTTAAATTGGTTATTTGCATTTTTAAGTAGGAAAGTATCAAATACATTTTAAGGAGATGTATTTACATTTATTTTCTTCTTATTTTAAAAACTTTTTTGAGATATAATTAACAAATAAAAAGCATATATTTTTAAGGTATACAATGTGTTGTATTTTATATCCTTATACATTGTGAAATAATTACACAAACAAGCTATTAACATAGCTATCACCTCACAGTTACCTTTCTTTTATGGAATAAACACTTAAGATCTACTCTCTTATTGAGTACTAAAATTATCATTTCTTTTTACTTTAGGCAAACTTTTATTTTTAAGAGTCTTTTGTTGGTGTTGTAAATGTAATCTTGACTCAGTTTTATTTCTTATAAAATCTTCTGTAAATACAAAAATAAATCTACTCTTTAGATTTAAAGTGTACGATACATTGACTATCATATTCATACTGTACCTTAGATCTTCAGAACTACTTCTTATAACTGAAAGTTTGTGCCATTTGACCAACGTTATTTTAAGGAGAATCTACAAAAGTTGAACTCATAGAAACAGAGACTAGAATGGTAATAGGGACTAGAGGGTAGGGGAAATGATGAGATGTTGGTTAAAAATAGTTTTAACTCTAAAATGTACATTACATTGAAATTAATGGTGAGCTGTTCAAACTTTCTGTAGGTTCTCATTTTTTTCTTCAGTAACAGATAGATTTACAAAGCTATTTAGTCATATTAAAAAAATCTGATTTTTATTTGAAAAAATATAAATTAAGGGTGTTTCAGTAGTGTCTATTGTTATAGTCATTAAATGGAAATATGAATAAGCATCTTTCAGTGAAAAATAAATTTATTCATTTAGTAATTATTAGGTGCATTTTATATGCTAGAATCTGTGGTAGTCTGGTTTTATACCGATAAACAAAACAGACATAGTTTCTATACTAAAGGATCTCAAATCTGTTTTTAGGTGATGGCTATGATAATTACACTGACTGATCATTGCACATTGCATGTATGTATCCAAATATCACTTTATATATACCAATAAAAATGCATCTTTACAAAAAGATATAAAAGCTAAGGCTCAGGAAAAAAAATCAAGTATGGGTAATAATAGATGATGCAATACTAGAATTCCAAATTCCAAATTCTGCTCAATGTCATAAAGTAAAGAAATGGAAACCTAAGGAATCTATGTGGAAATCAGGGATGGACACTTGGAGGGAATGACTTTGAAGCTAAGAGCTCAAGGGTAAGAAGGAGTTGTTCATGTCAAGAGCAGACAGGAAGCCTTTTAGGTAGATAAAATGGCATATGGAAAGACCATGAGGCAAGAGAGAGCCTAGAGAAAAGAGCAGTGTGGCCAGGGGGTGTGTCCACAGAGTAGATACCCAGAAATTCTGATGGCTGACTACATGAATTTATGACAGTAGAGCAAAGTTTATTTTTTTTTAATTTAAATTTTATTATCTTTAAGTCAGAGTCACACTCTGCTCTCCAGGCTGGAGTGCAGTGTCATGATCACAGCTCACCGCAGCATTAACCTCCTGGATTCAACTGATCCTTATTCTTCAGTCTCCTGAATAACTGGGACTATAGACATTCGAGCATGCCCAGCTAATTTTTAATTTTTTTTTGTAGAGATGAGGTCTTGCTATGTTGCCTAGGCTGGTCTTGAACTTCTGAACCAAAGTGATCCTCCTGACTCAGCCTTCCAAACTGCTGGGATTATAGCCATGAGCCACCGTGCCCAGCCGCAGAGCAAAGTTTTAATGGTAGCATAGCAGAGTAGCTCTCTCCTCCTATAGAACACTCGTTCTTTCGGCTGTTACGCAATATGGCTTCTCATTCCATCTCATTATGGTCTAGGATTTGTCTTATACCTGTCCCTCCATAGATTTTTAAAGAGATGAAGTAATCTTTAAAAATACTGAGTTGAAAATAAATGAGCACATCAAGTAGTTTCCAGCTAGTTGAGAAAGTTAAAGTGGTTGAGAGGACATCTTAGGAGCCAAATCTCTCAGAGGCTGAGGTTTTCATCGGCTCTTCTCAGAGAGCCAAGGGTATAATGTGTCCTTTGCAGTATCTGTGCCTGAGAGGAAAGATATAGCTAGTTAGATGGTGGAATCCTTGACTGATACTTAAGCCTAACAGATACTAAACTATCTGCCCTCCCTCTTCCCCTTTTCATTTGTCTGTGGACATGAATGTAACGTGGCTGGGTGCTCCTCAGGCCACAAACTATCTATCAAGATGGTGATGTAATTCTAAGAAAGCTTTATGTGTCCCAATGACTGGAGTTAAACTTAAGTGGGATGTGTTAAAGCAAATTTTGAACCTTTTTCACTTGATGCTTTGGCAGTTTTTGAAACTTTGCATTTAATTCTGAGTTTTTAAGTTTTCTTACATTCCTCCAAAGTTTCTTTTTAAAGATGATTATATAAGCGTTGATCTTTTTAGATTTTATTTGTCTGTCCTCCTGCCCATTTTGCTATAAGAACTGTGCCTAATCACATTACTCATTCGTTCAGCAAATTATTTTTCAGTGTCGTATTTGTCTCTGTGGTAGTTGTTAATTATAGAGAAGGAAACATTCTTGAACTTTGAAAAGCACAAGGCCTGATGTGGAAGATGGACAGTAAGCAAGGGAATAAATATGTATATTTAGAGATTGTGTTAAGTACAGTGAGGAAAAGTAGAGGGTGCTTTGAGAGAGAGTAATTTTGTAATCTGTTTAGGATTGAGTCATCAGGGAAAGAATTTCCCTGTAGATGGTTTCAGTGTAACTCAACCAAAGATAAGGAGTTAGCAAAGGGAAGAAGAGAGGGGTAATGAATGGACATAAGCCTCTGTCTTCTCACAGCTGTTACTTATTTTTATTTTGAAATGCTATTGAACTCAAGCTTACCACCTTTCACAATGTAAGGTGGATTAGAGTGCAAAACAAAATCTTGTTTTACAGAATTACTGTTTGGATTGTGGAAAGGTATGTATTTCCTGCTTTTGAGTATAGCAGAGATAAATATCAAATGAGCACAAAGTGACTAATTTATTCAATGTATCATTATTGTAAATTTGCTTAATATTTCTTTATCTTTTAACTTTTAATGCCATGAATTTGAAGAACCCTTGAGTTACTAGAAGGAGTAAAAACCAGATGTCAGTAACACTGTTGTGTGTTGTAATGTGAAGAAAATTTATTGTAGTCAGGCCAAGATAAATTAAAAAGAAGCAGATGAAGGGGAGTGAGAGGGAAAGAGGGCTGGGTGGTCAGTGGCAGTTATACTATTTTAAGTTCCTTATGTGTTCTAATAATTAATTCAATGCTTATATGTAAAATTGTTGTCTGCATTGATGAATTGCAAACATTTTCTCCATTTGATCAGATTTGGTCTAATTTTATCTTAAGCACAATAAATTTGCTAGCGATTCATGTGGGAAGTTTGCTGCATTTTACTTAAGTAATGCCATGGACCTGGGGAAGACAAGCTCTCTGTACTCCCTGAAGTTCTTTTTCTATGGTTGAATCTTCTGAAAACCACAGAAAGCTATACCAACTCCCTGTTAGATAACTTCAGAAACAGTAGGTAGACATGGCTGATGATTACAAATTTGTTTAGAAATTGTTTTTTTAAAAACAGGAAGTTAGTTTCCATATATGATCTGTGAGAAGGACTAAAAGTATCTGGATGACGTCAGTCCAAACTGAAAGCCATGTAAAACATGGGATATTCACGCCGGGCACTGTGGTTTACACCTATAATCCCAGCACTTTGGCAGACTGAGGTGAGAGGATTGTTTGAGACCAGCCTGGGCAACTTGGCGAGACCTCATCTCTACAATAAGTGAGAAAAATTAGCCGGTGCCTGTGGTGGCACGTGCCTGTAGTTCCAGCTACTTGGAAGGCTGAGGCGGAAGGATTACCTGAGCCTAGCAGGTCAAGGCGGTGGTGGCCATGAGTGTGCCACTCAGACTCAAAAAAAAAAAAAAAAAAAAAAAAAAAGGATATTCAGAACCTGTAGAATTTTCTGACTCCAGGGAAGGGAAATCAAAGTAAGTGACAATTTTTTTCTTAATTTTAGCAAAATATTATTTATGCCCAAAAGCAAAAATTAAGGTAAAATGAAATAGATGTATAAAGTTAATGAGGGGTGAAAGCTTATATTATCTTCATTAAGGGATTATATTATTTAAGGGAAATTGGTCCATGATAGTGGTTCTGACCACACTTTGTATTATGCTGAAACTTACAAATGTGTTTGATAGTACTGTTAACAGTATCATTAAAAATAAAATTCTTAGGTCAGCTCTCTAGAAAGTGTTATTATGCATATTGTTTCCTATGTACCATGGCCAAAGCTGTACATTGTCATAGCCTATTGTTGCCTGCACTGTTTAACAGCAAACAGGAATATATTTACATGGTTACGTTACAAATGCATTTAAAATCCAAGCAGATGGTACTTGAATGTAAAATAACAATTTCATATGTTTTGCAGAAAACGCATGTTTCAGAAGAGATGGGTGAAATTTGATGGCCTTAGCATTTCTTACTACAATAATGAGAAGGTAAATACATTTTACGGTATTCAAACATTGCTTTGCACACACTAAGTGTACTTCAGTAAACTAAGCAGTTGGTTTGGTTTTCATGAAAAAAAAGTAGATTTTTCAACCTGAAAAGAGTTTGAATAAGATAAAATATGTTCATAATTTAACTTTTCCTTGTTACATAAAAACTGGGTTTAAAAAAAACCATATATCTAGCAGTTATGTATGAAGTATCATCTATAAACCATGGGAACTATTAGCAATATAAAGGTGAATAAGAAATTATCTTTGTCTTAGAGAGTACCAAGGAATGTGTAAAAATGACACCATGGTAGAAAATGCCAAAGCCAGAAGAGGTTGCTGCATCTGGGGGGGGGGGGGGGGGGGGCAGAGGAGTGTTTGCATGAGATTCATTTGCCTTGGGTCTTGAAGAAAGGGAAACATTTGTGCCTATAGAAACTACAGAGAACAAGACCTTTCAGGAGAGAGAATAGTGACAGTGAGATGCCCAGATAGGAAAATGTGGACCATATACTGTAGAACTGAGTAGTTTACTCTGATTGGAGAGGAGAGTGTAGAAAGATTTGTGGAAGGTGAAGCTGAGTTTGGAGTTAGAGCTCATTGAAAATTTTGACTATTATGTGAAAGTGTTTACAATATATTCTTTATGCAATTTAGTCTTACTGATATAGTAGAGCACATTCTCAGTAGGTTTGAGAATGTCAGGTCTTTTGAGCACATTCTCAGTAGGTATGAGAATGTCAGCTCTTAGGAGATACAGCTAAAATATTTAGGCATTTAGAGTATTATTGTATCTGAAAATACTTTTCAAATGTTACCTATCTTTATATATTTATATTTGCAGATGTATACATTTATTTGCACACAAGCATACTTATATAAAATGAATTCTGAAGTTATAATCAATTGTCAAATCTGGATGGAGGACAGATGGGTGCTCATTGTGCTATTTTTTAAAACTTCTCTATGTTTGAAAATATCCTTAATAAAAAATTGGAAGTAATAAATATACTACCATATGTTAGTTAATTAAAATAAGACTTTTGTTTTAACAATATACTTTCTCTTAACATACTGATTTTAAGATTTTACTTTTTTTATTTATAGCTTATAATTTAACATTTTTTCTCATTATTTAGAGTTTTCCTAGTGTTAGTTATATTTGTGGCTTGACTAGAGATTTAGACTCCCTCTTATATCTTGCTTCTGAAGTGCTGCTAGGCAGAAGAATATATGCTTTTAGATAGAAAGTGACACATACAGCCACATAACACACACTGCGTGCTATACTGCTGAGAATGACAGAAGAATTAGGGAAGTGTTAATTATTTGGTTTCACTTTGCAGTGACCCAGATAAAGGATCAAGCAAGTTTTAACACATCTCTTTGATCTTTGCAAGGTGGTGGGAAGAATATTTGTAAAAACTGATTTTCTGTTTTAGTTTGTATTTCTAGTTTGCATGTATGTGCTTTTGAATGTTGAGACAATTTCTATGCCTAGGATGAGTATAAGGTAGTCTCAGTATCTGATGTAATCTGACTGCTGTTTTTCTTCAGTGCCCTTCTCTAATTTAATTGAAATAAGGAGGAAAACTACTCAGGAGCGAGACAGGCTTCCATGTCATGAGACTCCGTAGGTGGTGGCATCTTTATTCCCATTTGAGAGAGAGAATTTCTAGTAACTGTGTCCAACTGGATATCTTTTTTTAATCTCTCAGTTTGTTTTTTAAAAGCTCATCTCAGCTTCCGTGTAGAGTTGGGGACCTACCATGTCTTTTAGATATTGATATAGGCTTGGTTTGAATTTGAGATACAATGTTCATATTAAAATGAGTTATTATAAATCATTTAGCTTCACATTATTTTTTAAAAAAGAAATTATTGTTTTCTTTGACATTTCCCCCATTTATTGTCCAGATGATTGGTTTCATTTTGGCAAAAAACAAAAGCACTGGGGTGGATGTTTCCTGAAAGGAGGCACAGTTTCTGTTTTGACCCCTCTAGAAAAAAAGGATGCATAGATGTGGCCATAACTGCTATCTTAACTGGGTACATAATTTTGGCAGCTATTTTAACAGAGTAGTTGGGTCTTTTAGTATTTCAGTGTATACATGAGGAACATGTGGTTGTTGGACATTTGGGTAGTGTGCAGAGTTGCCTATTTCCCTAGTTTTCTTCCACTTTTCTCATTGCTACCCCATCAGGTCTCTGCAAGGACTTCTTCATTGGATAACATGAAATGGTATCATCCCAACAGCCTTGATATCTATCCCCAGCTAAGAAATCTAACTCACCCCTATTCTTACTCAGCTGTGGGCAGAATTGCCCTGTGGTCATTTCATTGTCTGAAAGTGGTAGATAAATGACAAACTTGACCTAGATATCTGTGTGTTACAGGCTCAAGAGATGCTTTAAAATTTCTCCTTAAGGAAAAAATTTGCTCTCTGAAAAATGCAGTCATTTGAGCCTGTTGTCATTTGAGTATTTTTTTCTATGTTGTCTTTATCTGGTGTTGTTACAAGAGGAATGTAGAATCAGCTCTACAATGTTAAAAATTACTAGATTTATCTTGGGATCTCATAATAGATTATAAACGAGCCGTTAGAAAAAATGCATCTTCTTGAGGTTAAAGTAACGTTGTATTTTGCTTGTTAAATATAATTTGATCTCTTCTTGGGATTTTTTCAATTTTTTTCTACCAGAAGTACTTACCTGTTAGACATATTAATATTGCTATACTGCGTGTAGCTTTTTATTTTTTAAGGAATCTTTTGTTTTTCTTTTTAAAGAGATGTAGTGTAGATAATCTCCTTTTATTCCTGTTTTTTCCCTACAGTGCTGCTTGACTTTTTTACACTGGAAAAAAGTGGGTTATTGGTTATATTTTATTCAACAAACAGTTAATTATCTCATTAGTGATATATTTTATAAGCTCCTCTAATTGTCACACAAACTAAACTTTGGGAACAGATCACACAGCATAATAACTATATGTATCTTTGGACATTCTGGATTTCTTTCTGTCTGTTGTCAGTCAGTACAAATTTCCAGGAGAAGGTCCTTAAACTGTCCCCAGAGATGCTGTGCCCCTTCTGGATGTTTGTCAGTGGGAAGACATTCTCCCCCTCCTCTCAATTTCTAGGGTACTTAGTGGTCTAGTTTTGGGCTCGTAGTACCATTTTAACCTACTTGCATTACAGGGATTCCTTTATTAAGCCAGTCATGGCGTGTGTTTCTTTGTAATGATCTTTCTAAAAAATGTCTGAGTATATACCGTGGGGAACTTGAGCACGTCTTTTTCTATATTTTCCCCTTTGTATTTTTGTGGCCATTGTCATTCATCAAAACATTGTACAAACTTCAAGGCCCATCTTGTTATCTGCCTCCAAGAACCTTTTTCTTTATAGTCTTCAACAGTATGATATTTGAACAATAATTTGCAGGAAAATTTAGAAGGAAAACAAGCTAAAAGTAGGGAAGCAAATCGGAAGAGTGTTGCTGTAAGTCAAGCATTAATTTATCAGAGTGTAGAATTGTAGGCTCAGTGGAAGTAGTAAGAAATAAATTTCAAGACATATTAAAAATGAACTATCAGCGCATATAATTCATTCGTTCAGAAAATGTTTCTATAGTATCAACTAAATGAAAGGTAGTGAGGAAGATAGATAAATGACCCAAAGCCTATATGTGAGACTCTGTTAATTAACAGTCAGTTGATCACCTAAGTAAATAGAAAGGCACCATTTGAGTTACAATGAATAATTGTAACAGAGGAAAAGTCCAGGTTGTTGTTGGCATAAGTTAGGAATTCTTCCTGGGTGAGGATGGAGGGACCTTAGAAAAAAGCCTGGTCAGAAAGGCTTTCTTCAGGAGGGTGTATTTATGCTGAAATATGAAGGATGAGGAGACAGTGTATTTATGCTGAAATATGAAGGATGAGGAGATAGCAACTATGTGAAGATGGATATGAAGAATATTCCTTGCAGAGCAAGCAGTGTATGTAAAGGCACTTGTTTGAACAGAAATGTAATATGCTCAGTGAGCCTCAAGAAGGTCAATTTGACCAGACTTCAGAGTCTGTGAGTGGTGAAGAGGAAGGTGACATTGTAGGTGTAGGGAGAGTCCAAGTTATGTGAGTGAAAAAGATCAGCACAGGTCAAAGACAATTTCATCCTATTTCAGAATGATTGACTAGAAGACTGATATTTTAATTGACAGATATAGAGGGAAGGTAAATCTTCACATGATAATAAATTCATTTTTAAAGATTGAGGTCTTTATAACACTTATGCTATTGATGACTTGAAATATGGGAGTGATGTTGAGTGAAATGGATAGATAAGGAAGGAAGGGAGAAATTTTATATTACTCTGCAGAACCTGATGGTAGAACTGGAGAATACTACGTTAAATAATGTTAACAAAAAGTTAAACACTGCATGTTCTCATGCATTTTAAATGAAGAAAAAGGTGACCTCATAGAAGTAAAAAAGTAGTATAGAGGATACTAACTAAAGCTGAGGACATTAAGGGGAAGGAGGAGTTAGGAAGAGATTTGTTAGTGAATACAACATTACAGCTAGATACGACAAATAAGTTCTAGTGTTCTATAGCACTGTAGGATGATTATACTTAACAATAACATGTAGTTTCAAATAGCTTGAAAGAGGATATAGAATGTTCCCAACACAAATAAATGACAAATGTTCTAATTACCCTGATCTGATCACTTTCTGTTATATGTGTGGCAGCATCACTATGTAACCTGTGAATATATGCAATTACTATATGCCAGTTAAAAAATATAAAATAGAAGGGATTTTATTTTTTTTTTGAGAAGATTTTTAAAAAAGTAAAATAAAGAAAATACATTATTTTCTGTGCTTATTTCTTGATCCCTCCCTTTTAAAATGAGGTTGCTCATTCATCTTCCTAAATCACAGCTTAAATATCATATTCTATTCTTACTGTATGAAAGGACATAGAAAAGCCTTCATGGCATTGGTATTTAAGATGGTGTTAAAGAATGGATGGGATTTTGAAGGATGCATAAAGTCAGGAATGGGAAATTGGAGCTGAGCCAGTAAAGGAGAAGAAACTGTTAAAGAACAAAGAGAGGAAAGCATCGTAGTATAGTGTATCTACTTAATGAGCAGAGGAAGGTAATCCTAGTAGAATGACATGTTTCTGACAACGAATCTCCCTTACCCAGACTGGAGTTTTTTGTTTTTGTTTTTTGTATGAGGGAGGTAGTTATAAACTTGGTAGCTGCTCCCTGCATGGAATGGTTTAGTACCTGCTTTTTCTTAACCAGTTGTTTCAGATACTTGGAACTAACTCAGAGTGGGGTTTCCATGAATAGTGCTGTGGAAGGAAAGAAAAGACCCTTAAGGATGTGTCTAAATTATTCTGATATTCAAGACCTTCCATAATGAGAATTTGATATGTAGTTTCAACCTCATCTCTTTTGACTCTACGTTGCTGTCCTCTCTTTTCTCTATCCTTCACCTCCGATATTCAGTCTTTCTGACCAGATTGACCCCCACCCATTTGTCTATTTGATTAAAGTTAGTATTTCTTAAGGTCAAGCTCAAATGTCACCATATTTGTAAAAACACCCCTCACCCCTTCTGAGCAGAATTGAGAATTTTCGCTTCTGTATTTTTTATCCCTTAGTTTATATACATTTTAAAACTTTTATTACATTAACTTGTTTTTCATTTTTAAACTGCTTGAAAGTATAAGGACTCAGATTTTTTCCAACACAGTGACCAGTAAGTCTTACACAGTACTTGAAATTGTGGTATATGCATCATATCAAATGATTTGGGAAAGTCCAGGAAGATAAGGATTGAGAAAAAGTTATCAGAATCATAAAAATAACCCTTTTGAGCAAAATTGTGATTTGTATATTCCAGTTGCAGGCAGCCAAATCTGTCTTTTTTCACTTATCAGTCATTGTGGAATAAAAAGTAAAGTGACACAGTGTGAGATTAACAGCCTCATCGTCAGAACGTTGAGTAAAACGGTTAACTGATAAAAATCCAACAGGGTTTTTAGGTATTTGTGTTGTTCTCAGTAATAGCAGTAGTTTTGAAATGGCTCAGCTACAGTACCTGTTGTGGCCAGCAGATGCCTGCAAACACCATAAAATCCTTTTGACCAGATTGTTTTAAAGAACGTGCTGCTGTTTTTTGGAGCTGTAGATCGCTAGTCTAGTAGGATGGTTTGTATTTGATTCATTCCCTTTTAATTCCACATGAAAAGAAAATTGAAAAGATAATTTGCTTAAAAGAAGGAGACATTTAATAGTTTCTATTCTGGGAATACTAAATTAGTGTATGAGCAGACATAGTATTTGTATGTCATTTTTAAACTTTAGATTGAAATTATGAAACTGAAGCAGATGTAAACACAATGCCATTCTTTTTTACTTTGATAAGATCAAGAGGATTTTATTTTCATGTGTCTTCTTTATTATTTTCTCTAACCAATACAGGAGATGTATTCAAAAGGAATAATTCCCCTTTCTGCCATATCAACAGTACGAGTTCAAGGAGATAATAAATTTGAAGTTGTTACAACACAAAGAACTTTTGTTTTTAGAGCAGAAAAAGAAGGTAAGGTTATTTCTTTATCCCTATAGAATACTCAAAGACATTAATTTCTGACCAATCAATTTAATAAACTAATTAGACTAGAAATGTCAAGAAACCTTTATATATATTATTTTGATATAACTCACATTTTAATTTTTCAAATGAATAATGTTAAAATATAAACAAATTGACAAATTATGTGTTGTTTGTTTACTATTCTTTCACTCAGCAAATACTTAGTGAGAAGCTACTAAGTGACCAGGACTCTTATAAGATCCTGGCATATAATAGTTAAAAAAAAAAAGTAGACAGAAATCTCTGCTTTTATGAAGTTCACCTTTGAGGTGTTGTTTTGATAGTGTAAAATAGTTATTTAATATGCAAAACAATTTTCCTAACTTAAAGAGTTGGTTTCATGGAAGTTCACATATGGCAGATTTTAGCTGCCTGCTCTAGGCACAGTAATCATTTTATTACAGATTTTGAAACATCTTTTATGTTTCTTGAATCTTTTCATCTACATCATCTGCTTATAAGTCACTTGATGGTAAAAATCAATTTAAAGATGGCCTGTGTTTTATAGGTCTAAAGAGAAATCTTTTGTGAGTTTTGTTTTATAGGAGGAGAGAGAAGCCAGAGGTGTTAAAAGTCTCTTTTGTATATTTTGTTTGAGTGTCATAATATGTTATTACCCCAAATCTCACCAGTTTTAAATGGCACGGATAAGGGCATCTCATTAATTAAAGAATTGGAATTTTAACATTTTTAAGACTACTTTTATTTTAGTATAAATGTATATAATTCAACTCGATTTTTAGAAGTACTTCTTGGTGTTTAATTTTTGAATAATAATGGCATAGACAATTTACTGAATACTTGTTACATGCCAGACACTCTGCTAAATTCTTTATTTTCTGAACAATCTTATAAGGTAGGTAATATTGCAAATTATTTTCTAATTGTATGGCAAGAATGTTCACCACCAATTGGAAACTACTAAATTGTTAACTATTATGAAGCAACACTGGCTCATTTCTAGACTGCTGGATTCCTGAAACATATGTCAGAACATGACACATAGAAAGCATTCATTGAACCCAAGAATTTGGGGTTACGGTGAGCTGTGATGGTGCCACTGTACTCTAGCCTGGGTGACGGAGCAGTCTCTAAAAATAAATAAATGAAATTATATAGTTAAAAAAATAAATAAATCATGCAATTAGTATCCTGTGTTACTGGAAAGTTTCCATTATTACTTGGAACAATCAGTAAGTGAATACATTCCAGCTGCCCTTCACACTGGAGCAGATTTTGGCAAACTGTAGATTACTATTCATTTGCGAGATCAACTTAGTAGTTTATGATGATGTCTAATATCCTCTCCCCCCACCAAAACAACCTCATATATAAAAATAAGAAGTATCAAAGTCCATTGCTTATACAGTATTATATCATAAGATATATATGTATAAATGTGCATTTATTTTTATACGTTTAAGGTTCAGTTACCTTCAGAATACTCTCTGATGCAAGCACCTATTGAGACACTTTGTCTACTGCTTAAAACAGTTTTTGAACTTGTCAGTTTGGATACCTTTTAGTGCTTCTGTCATTTTCCCCCCCCCTCCTATTCCATATGGGCAAAACATTTTTCTTTGAGGACTTTTTTCATTGTGGAAACAAAAAGCAGTTTTGCATGGGACAAGATCGGGTGAATAGGAAAGTAGGGCATAGGGATCATGCTGCTGTTGGACAAAAGCTTCTGAATACTCAACGTGGTGTGGGCAGGTATGTTTTCATGGTACAACTAGTCACCTGTATGCCACAAAAAAATTCACTGAAGCCAAACGCAGCCTCTCACAGCAATGCTAGCTGGTACACTGATGCCAATGGTTTTCTTGAATACTTACGTAGCGAGGAAAGCTTAGACTACAAGAGGGCCTGCCCTCCAAAAGATAATTTCATTTTTGGGGGTTACCCCTTTGTATTCTGCATATGTGTAATGTAAACGATGTTTCTTACTTGACTTGGTTTTTTGTTTGTTTGTTTACATTGAAAACGATGGCCCTAGAGCAGAGGTCAGAAAACTATGGCCTGCAACCTAACTGACCCACTGCCTGTTTTTGTAAATAAAGTCTTATTAGATAACAACCAGTCTTGTTCATTCATTCCTCATTCATTCTTGCTCAGTGGTATCATTGAGTAGTTGTGGTGTGGACTGTATGCCAGGCAAGCCTAAAATATTTATTGTCTAACTCTTTAAAGAAAAAGTTTGCCAGTCGCCGTCCCAGAACATTTTATTTAGAATTACCTATGTGAGGAACCACTTTTTGTGAATCATTGCCTGAAATTCAGAAAGTTGTCTAGAGCAGTGATACTTGATAGGGGACGTGTACTTGAAATCACTTTTTCTCTTTCTGTATTTCTTGAAACACATGGTGTTGCTTCTCTTGATTGGTGATCATGATAGTCTTTCCTTATGCTTTGGTTTCCACTTCCCTGCAAGGTGACTGCTGTTTCTTTGAGGTGCTTATCACCTTCCTCTTGGCCTCTCAAAGTGAATTTCACATATGTTGCATAGCCTGCATTTTAAGATAGACATACTAAATAAAGCCTCCAACTTGTGTGAAAATCTGTTTAGCCATATTTACTTGTCACATTAAAAGTTAAACAGACACTTTTAAAAGAAAAAAAGTAGAATGTATCAACCCACACATGTTTAAAAGTTACAGGTTCACAATTGTCCAATAAATTCTTCTGTGGTATATCATCTTTGTGATATAAATTGAATACATTAACTTTGATATGAATTTATTATTTGTTAAATAAGTTGTTGGTCTTTAATTTTTGAAGCCATGGAAATAATTGCTTCTGTAAAAACAGATTGTTTCCACATGACATTATTGAATAAGTTATTTTGTTAGAAAGTTATTTTTACATAGTAGCAACTCACATTTTTAAATATAAGTGTGTGTAGAAGTATATATATATATATATATATATATATATATATATATATATATATGTGTGTATATGTGTGTGCTGTGTGTGTCTATATATTTAGTATGGGACCTTCAACAAGATACTAAATATGTTTTACTAAGTTATTTATTTTCCTTTTACATATACAAATGATTGATTTTTTTGTGTGTAGGAACTGAAAAAAGCTACAGTAACGGATTTTCGAAAAGTTGACTTAATGAACTTAAAGCTAAATTAAAGTTTACTTCAGTTGAATGAAAAAGCAAAGTCAAAAGTTTAGGACAGAAAGGGGAATGATGTGACATCTTAACAGAGATGAATTCATTTTTTGTGAAAAGCTTTTGAGTGACCATATATGATAGCTACCCTCTGTATTCCCTGAAACCAATGTTACTATTTCTTAACTGCTGAACTTACCAACTGGCATTGCTAACATAGGATTACAGTTTGCCGTCTTTATTTTGCAAATTTTCTAAGACTTCAATTTTCTCAAGTTTCCCATTAGGAAATATTGTTACTTTCCTAGTTGAAAAGAGAATTATATTGAAATAATAGCATTTAAAAAATACTCTGAAGTACAAAATTTGGTCTGACTCTTCTTGTTCTCAAGCAGAGCCACTGGAATTGGTCTAAGGGTTGTTAACAGCTAATAATCTTGCCCTTCAGTCTGTATTCTTGTGGCACCTATGGTCACACATGCAGATATATTATTTCAAAATGCAGGTGATATTTTGAGTGCACAATTCCCATGATTAGAAGAGAACTTAAGAATTTTGGTGGGCATACCCCTTTCTAGGTCATTTTCAGTAGTTGCTCTTAGCTGTACTTTCTGTGTTTCTGTCCAACTTAGCAGGTTCTAGACTCCAGGAAACAGACACGGATGTCATTCTCTTAATTTTGTTTTTAGACAACATCATACAGTTCTTTGGTGGCATCTGTGATATTGACACAGGAAGTTTTTTTTTTTTTAACTTTCTTTAAAAAAAAGAACACTTAGTATAAGAAACAAATTCTTCTTAGTTGTGTTGGGCAAACAAACTTACATTTCTTTTGCAAACCTTCAGTGGTTTTAGAAGCAAAGCATGAAACATTATCTGTTTACTTTCTCACTTAATCTTACTAATGAGGGTTTGCTAAGATGATCTTTGTAGACTTCATCATGGTGTTCCAGAAGTTTCTGACATGAGGTATTTCAAGAACTTTCATGGACCCCAGATTCCTTTTAGAATATTGTACTGTAGGGTTGCAAATATGGTTTTGAAGCAGATCTCCTAGTTTTCAGGTGACTGATCCCAAATGTGTGTCTCCATCTCTTACCCCTGGCTGCACTTCAGAATCATAGATTCTGCTGCCTACTTAACATCTCAGCATGGGTGTTTATTATTATCTCAGACTTATATTCAAATTCCTGTTTCCACCGTCTCCATCAAGCTTCTTCCCCTGTAATCTTCCTCTTCTCAATAGAGGCAAGTCCCAGGTGCTTAGGCTGTTACGTGAGTCGTGTCTTCCTTCTCTCCTGTCTCACATCAAGTCCACCAGCAAAGCTTTTCAGTTTGACTTTAAACATATGTGTCTAGAGACTGACCATTTCTCAACATCTCCACTGCTACCACTCCACTACATACCACCACTGCTATCTGGATTATTTTTATTCTCTCTCTTGATTGACTGTAGTCACATTCTCAGTAAAGCTCTCAGAGCAGCTTGTCATTCAACAAGAAAGCCAGATCACATCGGTCTGCTCTCACATGCCCCACTGTTACTCCATCTTACCGAGAGTCAAGTACTTACGATAGCTAAAAACCCCTGCTGAATCTGGCCTTGGTCTCTTTGTCCTGATCTCCTTCCGGCCCTCCCGCCCTCACTTCATTTCAATGATGGGGGCCGCTGGTTCTCTGAATGTGCCAGTTGGACTTCATATATTTATCAAGGTTCTTTTTATCCTGGAATGCTCTTTTATTTATTTATTTAATTTTGAGTGGGAGTCTCACTCCATCGCCCAGGCTGGAGTGCAGCAGCTCGCACACGGCCACTCCAGCTTTGACCCACTGGGCTCCGACGATCCTTCCACCTCAGCCTTCCAAGTAGCCGGAACTACAGGTGCGTGCTACCATACCTGGCTTTTTTTTTTTTTTTCGATTTATTGTAGAGACCAGGTCTCGCCAAGTTGCCCAGGCTGGTCTCAAACCCACGGTCTCAGGCAGTCCACTGGCCTTAGCTTTCCAAAGTGCTGTGATTACAGGCTGAGCCACCGAGCACAGCCTGGAATGCTCTTTTTCCAGCCACCCTTCTGGCTTGCTTCGGCGCTTCCACTTCCTTTAGGCCAGGGATGTCCAAACTTTTGGCTTCCCTGGGCCACACTGAGTAACCTTTTGGCTTCTCTGAGCTGCATCAAATAAAGAGGAATTGTTTTAGGCTGCACATAAATTACATAGTTAGTGTATATATATATGTAATTATATATAAAATAAGACTCGTTTTTATATAATTTATTATAAAGTTATGAAATGAGAACATATAAAACTAGTGGAAAATTTGACCTTATTTTTATAAAACCTGTGGATGTCTGGTTTGATGGAAGGAGTTGCAATTCTTAGTGAGTTCTCAAGCTGCTCATAAGAAACATTTGTTCGAATTTTGCTCTTAGTGTGCTTCATAACTGAAAACAGTTACTCATAAATGTATGTGCTGGTGAAAAGCGATGTCCTGAATAAGGCGTGACTGTGAACTTCAAAAATGGAACTATGCATCGGGTCATGAAGAAAATAAACTCTAAACAGCATGTAATGTTAAAAGATTTTGTGGGGCCACATTAATAACTGTCCTGGACTGCATGCAGCCCGTGGGCCACAGGTTGGAAATTCCTGCTCTAGATTAACCATTCTCTTCTTTCTGAGGCTTTTTAAAATTACCCTATATAAAATAGCACTCCTTATGCACCTCAGCCTATGTTGATGTTATCCCATTTTGTAATATATTGTTATTATATCAAAGTTCTGATGGCCATTCTCCTTCCACTAGCATGTAAACTTCAAGAAAGTAAGGTTATAATTTGTCTTGCTCACTGCTCATTCTTGTTATTCACAGTAGGTCTGTAACACAGTAGGCTCAATACAGATTTGTATGAGTGAGTGGTTATCAATTTGAAGAACTAACTTGGCATGCAGTACTTCCTTATTGGACATTGCTCATGGGTTACACTGAGGAATCTTTAGTTAGATCATATTGACATCTCGAAAGTAAGAGTCCAGCTAAACTTTGTTAGATTATGTTACTGATGTTTGTCATGACACTTATGTAGAAATCCCTAGTATAGCCAATCCTTTGTTACTACTGAATATGACTACTGCTAAATTCAGTAGTTCAGAAAATATCAAGACTCCTGTTGATTTTTTAACCTCCTTTTTTGAAAATCTAAGCTGGCATTCCTGAAAACATCAAGAACTAACTTTTCAGCTTTAGAAAATTGCTATTGTCTTTTATTTACATTCTAGCATAATCACAAGAAAGTGGAAAATTTTTTTTAGATCAGTAGTACTTAGATATTTTTATTTTATTTTATTTTTTAAATTATATAAATTTTTTATTTTAAAATTGTGGGGTACAGTTAAGGGTTAGTATACAAATATTCATTGTGCAGGTACCCCTGTTGATGAGGTATGCCCCCCCTTCCCCGGACAGATATTGACTACTGTTAATCCTACCTACCTGCCCCTCCCTCCCCCCCAAAAACGTGGAAATTTCAACACTTATTCTTTGCTTCCCCTACTCTCTTTCCTCAACTTAAAATTTTTGTGCTTAGAGCAAAGCCATATCTGGATCAGAGCTAGTTTTCAAAAGGAATGGCGGCCAAGACATTCAATAGATTGTTGTTATTGGAAAGAATAAACATATCTTGTTGTAAAGAACAGGCAAAAGCTAACATAGTATCTAACTTTGCCCTAGACACTTGTCCAAAGGGAGAGCATCATTTGTTTTATGACTTACTGAAGCATTTTCCCTCCATCTAAGGATGTACACATTGAACAGCCAAATACAGTTGACACTTGTAATCTATTTTATATTTGAATGATCTGTTCCACTGTTTTCCTCCATTGACATGGGTAATTAAGAATAATCTGAATGTTACTATTAATTCCTAGTTTTTTTCATGACTGTTTGCTTCCTGTTGGTGGCTGAGGCCCTTAGGAGCTAGATAATACTTCTAGGCTCTAAGGGAGAACCATATGTTGTCATGCAGCCAAAATATGCTTACACCCAACAGATACAATTGCCAGTTTCAAATTAAATCCTGAGAAACTGAGATATATACTAACAGTAATCAAAAAGCCACAGCCCCTTAGGCCCTGTCCATTAAGTTATGACCTTCTTTAAAACTTGGTGATTTATGTGGATTAACACAAGCAAATAACCAACAACCATTATATACTACTTACTTAGCAAGAGTATCTTGTGTGAAACTAATGATCACAAGTAATAGCCAAGTTAAGTGGAAGGTCTGTTGCTGTGACTGAAAATGTAATAAATTATTGTAATGCAATCTGGATCTGTTTATGTAGATGCAAAACTGTAGAATAACTGCTGCATATTGACATTGACTTAACTACCTGAATATTTTTCTGTATTTTACTTTATGATATATAACAATGCTGGAGACATTTGATGAATATTTCAATCTGATATATAGGAATAAGAACAAGTTCTTGGAGGATTAGGCAGTACCTGCAGTAAAACATTACTGAATGAGTTTTAAAAGATACAGCAAACTATTTTTAGTCATTTTGAAGGTTAGAAATAATAAAAATAATTTTAAAAATTAAGACTCCTGAGCCGGGCTTGGTGACTCAACCTGTAATCCTGCACCTTGGGAGGCTGAGGTGAGTGGATTGCCTGAGCCTGCGGGTTCGAGACCCGCCTGGGCAACTTGGCGAGACCTCATCTCTACAATAAATCAAAAAATTCGCGGGCATGGTAGTGCGCGCCTGTAGTTCCAGCTACTTGGAAGACTGAGGTGGAATGATCGCCGGAGCCCAGCAGGTCGAGGCTGCGGTGACCAGGAGCGACCACTGCACTCAAGTCTGAGTGACAGAGTGAGACTCCAAATCAAAAAAAAAAAAAAAAAAGACTCCTTGTGAAATACTCATTTAGACTCATGTTTGAGTATGAACAAATTTAATATGGAGACTTCTTTTAATCCACAATGAAGCTATTTTGGGCAGACCTGCCTTAGAAGAATCTGAGAAACTGTCCAGTTTTCCAAATTGTACCGTGCTTACTCTTTTCTTCTCCCCTTCCTTCCTTGAAAGTTTTTTCTACCTAGGGTTCAGTCTGTTTTGTTTTGTTTTCTTTGGCATTGATAACTACTTCTCCACTTGCTTTGGGAGTCCATCTTTCACACTCAAGTAGAGTTGTATCCCAAAATTTGTACATTTCTTTTCCTTTTTCATTAAACATTTGTCCACTTCCGTGGGTCTCTCCTTGTACAGGTTACATTTGTTCACACATTGCTGTCAGTCTACCTAGACGCTCATGCCAGGGCTCTGAAAACCAGATGTGGTTCTGTTAACTAACTCAATTTCCCTACTTTCTCTGCCTGACCAATTCATGATGCCAAATTACTTTTTATTCTGAGTAACTTATTTTTGGAGTGAACACTCGTCACACACATTCACCTATTTTGTAGTCTCCTAAGTGTCTTGACTCTTCTTATGTTGTTTTGTTTCCATTTTCATTCATTTGAAGTCTCTATTGCCTTACTCCTGATCTCCAGGTTCCATTTTGGTCTATCTGTCATCATCTGTATCTTCCCAGTCATACCATTTCTTTGATAAGCATTTTTAAGTGGTTTTCCTTTGCCTCTGTAATAATGATAAAATTCCTTAAACAGGCAAGACATTCTCTGGACGTATTTGTCATTATTTTCTTGTGAGCTCAGAATTATAGATATATTCACCTATAAGTTAGTCCCTTTGTCTTGGTTCTTCCTGCCTTTGTCCTTGTGTTACGCCTTTGCTCAGAATGCTATGTTGCCCTTCCCTCTCCCAAACTCCAGTTTTGTCTTTTGAATTTCTTTCCAGCCTCAAGACCTAGCACAAATATGCCCCCGCCCCCCGCCCGGCCCTTTTTTCATGGTGCCTTTGTTGTTCAATAGTTACAACATTTGATTATCCTAATTTTAATACTAACTTGCTGTATGACCTTCAGCAAATCATTTACCTCAATTGAATTGACTCATATATTATTTGATGCTATTTGTATGACATTTATACTATTCTATGTTCCATTATGTGTTCAAATCTAACTTGACTTATAGCTTTAATTGCTCCTTGGGGACTAGATCGAATTCCTATACCCATAACCCAGTGCTTTGTTCATAAAGGTCACTTTGCTTTTGTGGAAGGAATGGGAGAACCAAGTTTTAATATGCCAGGTGAGATGCTATTGTTACTTACTGTGGTGAGAGTGGGATGGGAACGTGACATCAAGGCAGGCATACTCTTCAGTAGAGTAGATACCAGGTAGCTGTTAGAAACTAAGATTATCTAGGTCTTGGAGTAACTGACTTGCCGTGTAACATCTGTTAATTATTAGGTAGTGGTATTACTTTCTCCTATTAAAAGAGAAATCCAATTGTATGAATAATGTAAAAGTGAGCTTCTAAGATTTTAACAGGGATATAGATCACCTGTAGTTCTTTTAAAAATGTAGATTCTGCTTCATCGGGTCTGGAATGGAGTTTGAGATTTTGCATTTCTAATAAGCTCCTAGATGAAGCCAGTGGTACTGGTTCCAGGACTACTGAGTAGTAATTGCCACTTCTTTTCTCTCAAAGAGTTGGGCCATTGACCCTGTCTACAGGAGCACTTAGATGGTGGTTGTGGGAAAAAAATCTGTGAATTATCTTTTGTAAAGAGGGGAGATATTTTGTTGATGTTTTTATGTCTATATAACTTATATGTAGATTTTTGTATTTTCTTCTGTCTTTATTTCCAGAGGAGAGAAACGACTGGATCAGCATACTATTGAATGCACTGAAATTACAATCCTTTACCTCACAGTCTCAAGCAGTTGTTACACCTGAGAAATGTGGTTACCTGGACTTGAGAGGGTATAAAGCCAAAATTTTTACTGTATTGAGTGGAAACAGTGTGTGGCTTTGTAAAAATGAACAGGTGAGTTCTGTTATAGTCATTGCAAATTGCTGTTTTTTGATTATAGTAACAACTGTGCTTTGTTAGGATCAAGAGTGTGTTTACTCACAGTCTTGCTTTTGCATTGAATACTCCACTTAATTTGACAAAGAGAGGTTTTATTGAATTTTCTCAGTGTCTCCACTAGCAGAAACGCGTACACCAAATTTGAGGCTGGACATCACCTTTGTAAGAGACTGAGGAAATAGAATCATTGAAAATCGTTTTTGAAAAGTATCCTTTAGTTGAAGTAACATTGTAAAACTATATGAATAATAAGAACCAATTAACCATTACAGCTGTTGATGAAGTAGACCCAGTTCTGCACCAGCTGTGTTGCTTTTATATTTGTGGTAGAAAGTTACAGAGTAAGCATAGGCAACATATTTGCTTGAGTTTACATGGTTTTATTGGTTTATTTCTTGTTCATTGTCAGCAGATACGTTGCTTGCAGATAAAATGATTTATTAGAAGCAAGTGATATATTTACACACACACACACACACACACACAAATATACCCAAATACATATGCAAATACACATATGCACATATATACACACATCTAGCTATATACATATATGATATATACATAAATGGAGTTGATTTGTGGGTTATTGAATTTGATTTACATAAATAGACTCAAAAGAGAAATTAAATGTTTTGAAGAGAATGATGATAAAATAAAACTTTTAACAAATCTTGTTAGCTGTAGACGTTATTTTTCCTAACACTTCCGGTTTTTAATATGTATAAGAAAATTTTTTCCCTCACCTGTTTTTGGGAATACCTTCTTTTTAATCTCCCAGCCTAGCCTATACTAGGTGCTTAATAATTACTTGTGGTGTTGAACTGTGTACTTTAGATATCTGGTCTAAGATGAACTCATTTTATGATATGGTATAATGACTTATGGTAAGGTGTAAAGTAAATACTATTTTCATAACAAAAAGTAAGGATATCAATTCAAAGCAAACAGTAGTTAAAAAAAAAAAAAAAACTATAGAGCTGTATCTCAGACATCCCCTGAACTTCTGTGTAAACCTTTTCATTACATTTTGAATAAGATTTCCTAGCCAATTAACTCTGGAAGGCATCATTGAGCATTGTTGGCATAATGATAACTTAATAGTTAGCATACTCCTCAAGAATAATAGTGATCTACAGCTTAATAATGTGTACAAACTGAATATGAACATTTTCAGTCTGTGAAGTAGCATGATTAAAACTTTTCTTATTGAAATGGAGGTTACAATTACAGAATTTGCATGTATCAGTATGGAGGTTACTCTGCCAAATTAACTGAGGTATTTGGTTTTTACTTGCACAGGCCTGATAGCCTTCAAATTATTAGTTTCCTTGTTCATATTAGTTACATTGTCTGAGTTTATGTTATTCTCTGGATGTAAGATAGACATTTTAAACTTTTTAAAAAACACTTTTCAATTGACATTAAAAAATATATGAAATTATTGCTTTAGTATTAGTCATTGGATGTGAAAAGCATACTTTGTTGAGTACCAGGTACAATGCTAATTAAGTTGTAAACATTCCCTGTTAATTTTCCCCACAAAATAGGAGGATGATATTTCCATCTATATTTCATAGATGAGAAAGACATGCATTCAGTAATATATATTGAGATTACAGTTTACCATGCATAATTTAGTTTAAAACGAGAACATTAAAACACTAGTCCAGGCTGGGCTCAGTGGCTCAGCCTGTAATCCCGCGCCTTTGGGAGGCTGAGGTGAGTGGATTGCCTGAGCCTGCGGGTTTGAGACCCGCCTGGGTAGCGAGACCTCATCTCTACAATAAATCAAAAAATCAGCCAGGCGTGGTAGCGCGTGCTTGTAATTCCGGCTACTTGGAAGGCTGAGGCGGAAAGATCGCCGGAGCCCAGCAGGTTGAGGCTGCGGTGGCCGAGAGCGGCCACTGCACTCCAGTCTAGGCGACAGAGTGAGACTCCAACTCAAAAAAAAAAACCAAAACAAAATCCAAAACACTAGTCCAGCTTCTTAAATACTCTACCATGCTGTCTTTTTAAAGTCTAAGTTGAAGAGAAATTTTCTAACTTGTGACATTTTAGAAATAACCTAAGAATTCTTTCTTTGAATAATTCAATTGCCTAGGAGTTATGTATTCAATAAACATTGTATACCCACCCTTGAAATGATGTGCTTATGGAGAAGGGAGGACATGCATCTTATCTTCTAGGAGGAAAAGTCAGACAAGATCAGCATCTATGATGGATGGGAGCTTAGTGCCATATTGGGTTGTGCAGGAATTACAGAGATGTACAAAAGAAGGATCTCTAACAAAGTGAGGGAAATGGAAACACTTCCGTGTACTCAAATAATGAATATATTCTCCTCAAAAATTAAAGCATTAAGTAAACATATTTTTGATGTACATATATTTCAAGTTCTTTTCTATGCATTAATATATATATCTCTCTTTAAAAAAGTATGCTGTTGTTTGTGTATGTGTGTGTGTTTTTAATTATTCATATCATATTGAGTCAGAAGCCTTTAGGGACTAGGTCCTGAGTCAAATCTTAGAGAACTAGGTGACCTGACACTAAGTAGGTAAGTTAAGGAAGGCCCTGCATGTTCAGGCCCTGACATAACCATTCCTGTTTCATTTATTTTCTTGGCATGTGCCTTTTTCTCTAGAGGAAAGTTGTTCACTGGTTTTCTCACATGGTAGAGTGTGTATGAATAACCTGGTGAATGTGCTAAGTAAAAGGTCTTTCTCCTGAATGCAGAGCTCTGTGGCAATGAAGACATTGACCCGTATTTAGGAAAAGCACTAAATGATACTAAAAAAGTTTGATGCAGCTTCTAAAAATTTTACACTTTTATATGTGTGTTTTGTGTTAATGAAGTAATGTGCATTTTTCAGTGGTTATGGAAAAAAAATCTATTCATCATAAAAATGTAAGTGAGATTAGATTTGAACCTCTGCAATGGAGCTTAATTATCTGTATTATTTTTATTTTAAAACAGTGACTTTGTTGTCTACATAACTTAGTAGCACGAATAGAATAAAAAATAAACTGACTACACCACCCTAGCATAGGATCTATTTTTTAATTTTTCTTGCTTCTAATTTATACATAGTTTTACTAATTTACTTTGGCAATCACTCCAGAGAGAGTAAACAGTGGATAGAGGTGGAAGGGTGGCTATTACAGCAAATGTTGAAGAGTTATTAAAGAGGAAGCTCATTTATTGCAAAGATTGGACTGGGAGGTACAGACATGGGTTTTGATTCTTGCTCTGCTATTAATTGGCTCAGGTAATTAAGTTAGTCTCTTTAGGTTTAAATGGCATCATATGAAAAAGGGAACTGTCTTGCTATCTCTGAGGCCATTGCTTAAGTTACATGTTAAAATTCCACACTTCTGAGTCTATTTTAGACTCATTGATTCAGAATTTCTGGAAATAGGGTGTTGGGCTCTGCACTGGCAAAAAGAACCCTAGATGATTCAGTGATGGATAATCTAAAAACCAAACACTGTAAACCACTGTTTTAAGGTTTTATTTTTCCCTTCTTCAGAAATGATAAGCATTCAGGTTAAGAGAGCAAGATATTTCTGGAGTTGGTAAATATGCAAAAGTAGTCTTCAACAATATTAATGATATCAGTATTTCTTCAGTTCATCTCTCACCTTGGGTTTGTTGTACTCCTTTTTGTGATGAACTTTAATATCGTTTTCCTGATTTGAATCATTTTACTGCATACAAAACACTTAAGTGGAAAGTTAGGGAAATAATTATTAGTGGTTATACATTTTTAAATTTTGCAGAACTGTTATTAGAAAATTGTACATAATTCTAAACAAATCAATAGCTACTGGATGTTTCTGTTGCTAAAATCTTAATACTTAAAAAATTAGAGCCGGGCTCGGTGGCTCAGCCTGTAATCCCGCGCCTTTGGGAGGCTGAGGTGAGTGGATTGCCTGAGCCCGTGGGTTCGAGACCTGCCTGGGCAGCGAGACCTCATCTCTACAATAAATAAAAAAAAATCAGCCGGGCGTGGTAGCGCATGCCTGTAATTCCGGCTACTTGGAAGGCTGAGGCGGAAGGATCCCTGGAGCCCAGCAGGTCGAGGCCGCGTGGCCTGGAGCAGCTACTGCACTCCAGTCTGGGCGACAGAGTAAGACTCCAACTCAAAAAAAAAAAAAAAATTAGTCTGTAAATTCTGTCTTAACTATTTTTCTTAATCTTAGACTTTTATTACCAGAGTACTCCTTATTGAAGGAATCTTTGTTCATTTGCAAAGTCAACATAAAGACAAAATGTTTGAAAACCAGTAGGGATGTTTTTCACTTGTTATTTTTCATATGTTCCTTTAACTGTGTATGTGTGTATCTGGAAATTTATTCAAAATTTGCAGATTATTTTTATTTTCTTCTAGAGCTTTTTCTCTGCTTCCAGTAGATGTCCTTAAGATTCCATGTCCAGCTTCTCTATGCATATATTTTCAGTAATTGTTTCCCTTTATTTTGAATCTGTCTCTTCTACTGCTTTAAGATCTTACATTTTCTAAGTTAAAATAGCCATTAAAACACTATCATAATTAATACTTCTACTTTGTTTTTGAAATCCCCTCCGTTTTTTAAGAGTCGGGGCATGACACTAGCGAGAGGAATGACAGTCTACACATTCCCATTGATAGTTCATTGCTCTAAACTCCATGAGTAATAGACTTCAACGTGGAATTAACATAGACTTTTGGTTTTTCCAGTTCTCAGTTCAAAGACTGACTTTTTGCGTCTCTTTCTTTTCCTTTTATTCATTAGCAGATTGTAGTCACTGAAACTTGAAGTAGCTCCTGGCTGCATAGGAGGAATGCCTAGAGAGTGTACGGTATTTTTTTTTTCTCTTTTCCCAGATGGGCATTAAGAAGTGGAAAAGAACTATGAAAAGATACGTAAAAACATTCGTTAGAGAGGATAATGGCATAGTAGAAACTATA